CATAAAAAATGTTATATTAATTTTCTTCTAATACACTAAACAAAATTGGAAACTAAATAAAAAAAAAATAGAAAATAAAACTAAAAAAGATATTGAAGCACTTTTTTGACAAAATATTTTTTATTTTTTTGTGAAAATTATTTTATTGTTTGTTATTAATTAAAAAAAAAAAATTATAAAATTTTCATTCACTTCATCCCACTGTGCCACATATCGCTCGAAACAAAGGCAAATCAAGTGACGCCACACTTGGTGGCGGCATAGCTTACGTCAAAGAAGTAACGCGTTCGCCTGCGAGTCAGCGGAGCGCAAGCTGAAGAACGCAGTCACTGGCGAAGAAGCGAAAAATTGGGCAAAACTGAGTTGGGCAGCCGCAAGTAACAGGAACAAGCAACAACAACAGCAGCTAAATAAATATATATCTACACATCTTAGAAGCACAAGGTACATTCGCCGGGTCCAGTTGAGCGCTCCTTATTGCTTGCTGTTGTTATTCTTATTGCTATTTCTTTCTGTTCTTGTAACACCGCTCCCCCCCGCCGCTTGGCAATTGGAAACCTAATCAGCCCAACAACCCCATTACTCAGCGCACTAAACGTGTGCGCACTTGTAAAGCAGGGCGTATAGCCCCTAAAAGCGCGCTTCAGTACATATGCATATACCTAAGCATATAAGGAGGCGTATGTCAGTGTGCCAGCACTATGCTGGCATCAAATATACATACATAGAAAGACGCGTGTGTGCTTGTGCTCGTATCATTAGTTGCTGCAACGTCTTGTCGTGGGTTTCAATGTTTGCGCGTGTGTTTGTTTGCATGTGTGTGTGTGTATTGGAGGTACATACTTTACTAAGTTTGATGGTCTTTTACCCGCCCCTTTCATATCCTGTCCACGTTCCTGCTCATGTCGTGCACACACGCCGCACACTCGCATTGCCGCTCGGCAAACGCTACCAACTTTGTCTGTCCGTCTATGGGGTCATCTATCCATCCATTATATTTGGTACATTGCAAAATGGGATTTATTGTGCAAAAGGCATGATTAACTTTTTTCTCACTCTCCAGCACAGTGCTCGACCGCCACCCCTCTGCCTGACTGCTTATTTGCTCTTCTATTCGCCTTACTGGCAACCGTACGGACCCTTCACTTCGTACTTTCATTTTTCTTATTTGTAACTTTTTTGATTTCGTTTCTGCCGCTTTCTGCATTCTAGTTATCTGTGTAAGTGTGTGCGTGTGCTGTTGCTGTTTCTATTGCTTGCCTTACTCGCCTTACTTGCTTCGCTTGCCTTGCTTGCCTTGTTTCGTGTCTTGAGCGGAGCCGAAAACATTCTATTGAAGAAGTTATGCTTTGCAGTCCTTCTCCGGCAGCATTTCGTACATCTCTGTTTCATAGGGAATTAGTAAGTTTTCGTACGTCCATCGTCCCATGCGTCTGTTACCGGTCTCTGTGACTCCTTAACTGCTGTGTGAGGCGCAAAAAAAAGTTTTTGCTAAAAACAATAAACCATGAATCGGCAAATGGGGTGCCACCCCTCATAACTTCTTTCCGTTTTTCATTTTTCGATATTTTGTTTTTGTTTTCACTCAGTGTTTTTTTGTTGCTTGTGGCGTTGGTTTGAAGCGCTTGCTACGAAATTGATTAGGCATTAGTTTTGCTGGAAATTGCTGTCAAAATATGTATATGCTGTGTAGGCCTAAGGTAATGGAATGTACTGGAGTTATGGCACTGGACTTGCTTGTGCCTTTTGCACGAGCGCACAGTTCTAAACTGAGTATTTCTGGAATGTGCATGAATTTAACTGAGACTAAAGATTCTGATAAACTTCTAGGAAAATAGGTGGTTTCAGCAATTTCTTTTGAGTTCACTTGTGAATATAATCATGTTGAAATAGTTAGTAGTAATCAAGCTTTTAGATACCTTTAACTTACTTCAGTATAATCAGAAAGAAATAAATATACAAGCTTTGTATAGATTTGTTCTTTGTCTTCAAATTGTTGTCCCATCTTGAGCTGAGAATTGTATAAGACTTACGAACAGTTGGCTTAAAAGGAACTATTTTCTTCTAGATTAAGTAATATTTTTATGCCAAAGTTTTTCTAATCAAAACAGTTAACTGATTTTTTGTGTTCTCCAAAAAACTTCTTCTTTTTAAATACTTTTGTAGGACGTCTTCCAGCTAAAATGCTGACATAAGTAACTTTTTCATAGATCTGTTTTAATACTGGTAGGGAAAGCAGCTTATATGCTAATAGAACACAAGTAATATACACATTTTCCATTTATTTCTTTTTCTCTAACTTTGGGTTAGTTCTTTATGGTTCCAATGAGATTGGAAAGCTAATATTGGTTACTAAATACGCTAAATATACCGGGGAAAATACCCAGAAATTTGTAGAGCAAAAATATGGCAGTAAAAATTAAAAGGCATCAAGTTACGGATTTTTGAGATTTCACTTAATTCTCTAACCTCGAAGCGGCGCTATTTTAGGGACACCGTTTTTTGACTTAATAAGACAACCAAATTTAAAGGTTCGAAAATAATTGTACTTTTTTCTCTCTAAAATCAATTGAAACGAATAGTCCAAATACGATCGATTTTGAACTTGACAATCCAAAGACTGTGATTAACTATTTTCCGAAAATAATAGACTATAAATGTACGAAAATACTCCAGCTCTGAAATGATTCGATGCAGTACTCGTTGAGAGAAGCAAAAAGGAAAACTCGTGTTGTAAACTCGGCTATTAAAGCGGTGTCTACGCCAATAAAAAAAGAATAAATAGGCTAGGACACATATTGAAGAATAAAGTAAATATTAATATGTATATATATTTCTTCGATTCCTTTGCAAGTTGTTCGGAAGCAAAATCGTTGCACTTCGGCACGTTGCACAGATCGGGATCCGATTTTAACCAGAACTTTTCCGGCTTAATTTTAAATATGAAATAAAAAATGAAGAAAATATTAGTATCTCCCTTCGATTCTTCTTTCATTTTTCTGAACCCGGCATATACAAATATTATCCATTTTATTAATCTTTAACAAAAACTCTCCATTCTGATGTTACTTGACCATACCTTTTAATAAGATTTTTACCAGAACTTGTCGGATTAATTTTAGAATGGATTGTAAAAGGCAAACAGGCATTCAGGCAAACAGTTCTTGATAAGATTTTAACCAGATATTTTTGTTTCAATTTCAAAATGGGAAATAAGAATTTGAGTTAAGTATTCCACTAAAAAAGTAGTAATATATTCCACCAATTATTTTTCCATTCTCGATTAGGTTTATTGAAATAATGCCTCGATAGAATTAATATTTCAGAAAAACAAATGAAGTTTCAGTGTTTTTATGATATGTATAGTCTGCAATTTATAATACACTATACATATACAAGTTTCGTAAATATTGACGGGTTTTGTGATTACCTTTCAAGTCTTCTGGAAACAAATGTACTGAGTAGTGGTTTTTCAGGCTCATAGAGCTTGATAATTAATTAATAATAAATAGTGAGAAAATGGCATCCTTCTTTCCTCCAAGCGCCCATATCTTATTTAGATTTTATTCATATCTTATTGATTCCATTTCAAAATAACAAATAAGGGAGCATTCTTCAAGTCTTCTTTCTTCCCTCTGAAGAAGGCATATATAGTGGCGTCCTACTTATTAATCCTAAACAGAATTTTTACCAGATAGAATATATTTATATATTATACATATTTTATTATTTTCAAAAAAAAAAAAAAAAAAAACAAATGGAAATGTTTATAAATTGCAATGATGATTTGGTTTTAAGGTGTAAGAGCATGACTACGTAGTGCATCGTTTGGTTTAATGCTTGAGAGAAAAAAAATTTACTCACGGGCTTTATCAATCAGGGTAGGTAGCCGGTAATTATATACATTTCTGGTCCAAAATATTATAATAATACAATATATTGTTGTTATCGAAGGCTATTGATTTTTTGTAAATTTGTGGTTGATTAAATCCCGGCATGAAAAAAGTTGTAAGATTTCACCGATAGATGTCACTGTATATATAAAATTTTTTTTTTTTTGGAAAATTAAATGATTTTTTTAGTTATGGTACAATGATTATGAATTATAGTTCATGCGTTAGAAATAATATTTCTTAGGCCTTTCTTGACAATATTGTATGGTCTAAGAGGTATTTGAAAGTTTCATCCATTAATTAAAATTGTAAATACAACTAACAAAATATTTTTTTTTATAATGCTCAGTTAATTTTTTTCAATTATTGTAAGCAGAAACTAGTATTCATCTCAGGAGTACTTAGTGAGGTTCGAGCGACCAATTTATGACAAAAAGTATTTCCACGACGGAATGGACCGGAATTTTTAGCTGGCCAAGGACTGTCAAATCGGCAGAATTCTGCCGCTACTATAACAATAACAACAACAACAACAAAACTAGTTTGCTTCCTAACTATTCTCAAGTGATAATGGTATATGGGAGCAAAAAGAGTTACTAAGTTCATTATTTGTAGTCTTTTCGGACATAATTCCTTTTGTAAACCACTGATCATGCCAACTTAGCTATTAAGATCGAAGGTTCTTCTAACAGAATCTACGGGAAAGTAAAAATCTTCACATAACCAAAGTTGAAACCAAACCACATAAGGGGAAAGTGTAGCGGCAGAGTTCTGCCTAGACCAGACTGTCGTGGGAACTACATTATATTACAGCGCACATAATAATCAATTCTGTCGCTACAACAGCAACAACATCAACAACAAGAAAATATATGTGCTTAAATTTTGAAGCAAATTTTCGCTATTATGGCAACTCCGTTACTTCCTTCCGACTTTTCTAACAGTCACACCAACTTTCAGGCATTATTTTCTCGACTTTTTCTGGATTTTTCTTAAAATTTTGATCAACTTGTCACCTACCTTATGCAGCAGCACCGATGCTTTGCGTTTCGATGCCATTTTAGTGGTGCCACCACCACTGCTGCCACCGGTACCGGTTGACGACGCTGTACGTGTCGACTGTTTTGGTGTTTTTCTCGGATTCTTCGGAATTTTGGATAATTTTTATGCGCTGAACGCCGGCTTTGGACTACAGGAAATACCGTTAAAGGAAAAACAAAATGCAACGGCTAAACGTTGGCAATGCGATGTGTTAATTAAATTGTGCTAAGCGTACGAAGAATTGTGTGCGTATGTCACAATTCTTAGAGGTTTTTATTTTTAATGCCGTTGGATTCGTTGGAAATCTTTGCAAGGCTGTGGCTGGAGCGCGTAATGTTGCCGTTAACGGTAAATGCACAAACACTGTCTACACACACTGCCGAACTGCACTTTGTTGTTTTTGTAAGCGTAATATTTTATTTGCTATTTGCAGATTTTTAGAAAAAATTTGTCACTTTTTGAAAAGTAAACGAAAGTAACGGTTTTTGGAACTTGCTGCCAAGCAACTGTCAGCGTTCACTTTGTGGCAACACTTTGTTTGCGTCTCTGAGACAAATTCACACACATTGAGTTAGGCGTTTCTGCAAAATACTTTCTTTACTTCTTTTTATTTTTATTAAACATTTTTTTTCACATTTTCTTTGGTGTTTCTTCGCCACTTGTTTTTGTTTTTTTTAGTTGCTAATTAGCTTGTCATGTTCCGCTAGCACACGTTTTCTGCTCGCCTCGTGTACGACGCTGTACTGACTACGACGAGAGACCTAACGCCACCGGATAACAACTGCTGACTGACCAAAACAGAAACAAGCGATTGAGTTTTAACTTTTGATAAAACGGAATGTGCCGCCGCCAAAGCCGCACCACACCGTCGCACAACCTACATAGCTGCTGCACGTCAACCCCAACTAGTCCGCACGAGCACGCCAACCGGCCCAACAACATAGGAGAGTTTGCAACGAGCTGAGCATAGCTGAGCTATGGTGTCTGTCGTCGTCGTCGTTGTCGTCGTAGTCTACCCCGCGCCGCTTGCGAAAAAGGAAGAAGCGAAAGGATATAGCAGAAAGAGACGACCAGTAGTAATGGGCATGCGCACAGAGTGGGCGAAGGACGCCAAAAACACCGAAGATCGGGCGCAGCAGCGAGAGAGCGAGTGTGATGTGTGTGAAGTGAGTTTCGCTAAGGACTCCACAATATAACGGTAATGTATTTGTCTGTATGTGCCGTTGATGACGCTGCATGCTGGCTCAGTGGGATGAACGTAAAAGAAAATTGACGATAAGGCGACCTATGTGTGACGTCGTGAGAATGAGAAACGCACAAGAGAAATGGAAAAAATGTGCAACAATGAATGAAGTAGGCTGGTCGTTGGCGCGCGCCAAGTGGTTGTAAACATTGCGAAGTGGAGTCGAGCGGCGAGCGTGCGGTATGTGGGGTGTGCAAGCCGCCCTTGTAGAGCGAAGACGGGCGTGCGCTGTGTCGATGGAGGTAAGTACAGCTGGATAAAAACACAGAAACGGCGATAAGCGACAAAATGTCAAAGTGACGAACGAAGTGAAGTGAAAACAGTTTAATGAAATTTGTGCACCGAACGCATTGGCGAACTGACGTGCGACAGCATGGACGGCAAAACGGCTTTTTAAAGGACGAAATTTTGGTGCGTGCAACAGTACGTCGGCAAAGCATTAATTTTTGTTTGTGGCAAGGCAGACAAAAAGATGCGACGACGTAGGTCGCGCCGTATGTAGCCGGGCGGGTGATGGTGTAGTAGACCTACCATGGCCACGACTGCTGCGACAACTGACGCGCGTATGGCTTTTGGGGTAGGTACGGCAGGCGTATTGTATGCCCGTCGTTATGCCAAAAGCTGGCACAGGGTTGCTGTTATCGGCACGGATTGGTGCGGATCGGGCAGTTAGCGCGCACGACACTGCGGCGGCTGAGTCAATGCCAGCACCAACGTTGGGCTGCAGATGTGCAGAGTTGGGGGCGACTATGCAACTGCCGATGGCACCACTCGAAACAGCTGAGTTTTGTGCGCCGCGTGTAGGCTACGTAATGTTGATGAGGTTTGGGACAGCTGGGCGGAATTGATGTGACAGTGGTATGAGGAAACGAACACATAGTTGGTTAGCGAACGTTGTTGATGATGATGATGATACGACGAGTGTGGGTCGGGGGTTTGTGTCGAACAATGTGAAATGCCATGGAGTGGGAAAGTAGTAGTGTGTAAGAACCGTGGTATGAGTACGCGGCCGAAACAGAGTGACTGGGAAATTGCGAGGGTTGGATTAAGCATACGTAGAGGAGATCGGCCGCACGAAAAAGAGGTGGAGAAGAGCGCCGCGTAAAACAAAAACAGTTGCGTGTGCGTGCGACGGCAGCGCTGAATAAAAAGTGGAAAATATGAGTATAAAAAATAAAAGCAAAAACTAACGACTGTTGGGGCCGGAGTCGGCATTTGGGATATAAAAAAAGTATGGCAAAAGGTTGGTGATGTTGGCGCGCCGTTTGGCGGACAACCGCGCCATGGACGTCGTTTGTGATGAGCAGCGCACGGAAGGTGGTGTCGATATACTCGATTTTTCACGCTTGGGCTAGAGAGTTGAGGCTCACGAACACCACTATGACTGATGATGAGTAAAGGATTGCATGCTTGGTAAAAAAACAACGCACAGAGAACATAGGCTGTGCAGGCAATGCGGTGTTGGAGTGCGGGTGGAAACATTTTAAAATGAAAATAAAATTGGTAAGGCTAAATAGAAAAAATAATACCGCATTAGCATGAGTGCGGGGGAAATGAGCAAGCATAGCGTTCGTGTGAGCGCGGTGCCGCAGATTTAGGTGGCAACACTGCCACACTGAGCAAATTGTGAGTTGGTGTTCTAGGCATTTTTGCGCTATGTTGTGCTAACGTTGGTTAGTTGAGAGTTAGCCAACAGCTGACGCCGCCACGAAAGGTGCGCACTATGTGCGAAGGCGTAAAGGACGAACTATTACCATGATTGCGCTAGTGGTGATGATGAAGATAACGATGAGAATCAAATGTAGCACGTGCTGGCGCTCATGATGCCGTAGCGCTTAGCAATGTTTGTTGTTTGTTGTCGAGTTCTGGCCGTTTTGCTTTGGTGTGAGGCGGGGACATGCTCCAATTCCGCATGTGAGAATGGGTCAAGAGCGCGCGGCAGGTTTGTGTGTGGCTCAGGCGCGTCATATAAATTCGTTTAGCAAAAATAGACTTTTTGTTGTGTCGTTGTGGTGTTTGTTATTTTTTTTTTTACAGTTATAAGTTTGTATGTGTTGGTGTTAGTTGTGGGTCGCTATGCAACTTGCAACTGCGGCGCAGCGCTTCAATTGTAGGCTGTTATTTGAAAAATCATGCTTTTTCGCGTTTGCGTTTTTTACGCTTTGATACTGTTTTGCTTTTGTTTTTGTGTTTGCTGATTTTCGGCGTGCTTCTGACTGACCGCTGCATTGCATTTTGTGCCGGGTAGGTGGTTGTAGAAAGTCGTTGGGCAGTTTGTGTGCGCGGTGGCAACAAATAGACAGAGAGCAATGGTGCTGCATGCAACATTGCACCAAGCAGCGCGTCGATTGGCGTGCTAAGCATAGACATAGAGGTGCGACGTTCAATTATGCTTTTGTTTTTGGTACATGATGCGTAGGCGTACGTTTGTGTAGCCTGCTAGAACAATAGGCGCGTGGACGTTTATGTGTTGTCGTGTGTGTGCGTTGCCACTGTAACTGTTTTTTAATTCCAACTTTGGTCGGTTATGTTACCACTTTTGTCGTGATGTAATTTATAATTTTTCTTTCATTATTTGCTGTATACTTTTAAATATTTTCTATTATATATTTATATTCAGGTATGGAAGAAAATATATTCAAAGTGGTTTGACAAATTAAATAAATGCCGTCGGCTATTAAAATTGTGAACCTGGAATCTTTTTTCAAATTATATAACTAGAAACACCTTTAATCGAAGCTAAAATATACTTGATTTTGATCGATCTGTTTGTATTACTGATATAGAATGAGCAACTCCGTGGAGCAAACAGGGATGTATGCAAAATTTTAGATCGATATCAAAAAACCGGGAGATTAAATCGGCTCAGCTCGCCACTCTGTTGTGTTGTTAAACTTTCTGTGTTTTCCAAAGTTCGTGGAAAACGTTTCGAACTCTGTCCAAGCTATTTTGCAATTGCTCAGTATATTCTCTCATATAGGTAGTCGAAACAGCCTTTTCGTAAAATTTTGCCACTTTTTGCCATTTTTCCGTTAGAGACATTATTCCATCAGTGTAAAGCTTTTCTGGCTTCTCGGCGAAAAACTGTCATAAGTAGTTTCCACAGATTTCTCTTGAGGCCACTTTACTCCATTAGGGAAATTCTGCACTAGCGGAAACAAATGGTAGTCCAATGTGAAAGATCAGGGCTATATGGTGGATGCATCAAAACTTCCCAGCCAAGCTCTCCCAGTCATCAAAGATGTTTGTGGTCTAGCTTCGTTGTTCTGATGGAATACGAAACCCTTTCTGCTGATCACTTCTGGCCGTTTTAACGTTTCTAACGATTGCTGGCTTTAATCTCATCAGTTGTTGACAGAAAAATGTAGAATCAATCGCTCGACCAGTCTGCAACAGATCATACTGGATGATTCCTTTCCAATCCCACCAAACGCCCAGCATAACCATTCGAGGCGTTCATCCTGTCTTTTGCTGAGTTTCACCACGCTTCTTCGCTCTTCTTTTTTGCACATTATTGTCGAATTTTATTTACTTTTCGTCTCATGCTACCATTCGCTTCTTTTACATACAATTGACCGGTTAAGTAGCTGTACTTTCAAAATTCGGAATAAATCTTTGTACAGAATAAATCCATGGTGACTGTGATTTTCATTCAAAACTCGAAATATATCACTTTAATGTCAACAGATTTTTTTATAAACTTGCAAGACTGTACCCAAAGTAATCATTAAGTAGTGTTACAAACACGTAGATGAATCTCATTTTCAAAGGCGTTAGAAGGTCGGATAATACATTATCCATCAAGGCATAGTCAACGAAGTACAATACAACTTTTAGTGCCAAAATGTGAAATTTATTTTAATTTTTGTTTATAAAATATCAAATATATATTTAGGGAAATAATATTGTTTCCATCAGCAAACCATTTCACGCTTTCTAACTAAAATATACTGTAGCCAAATAAGATGACTTAGTGTTTCACATTCTGAAATTTTGTATAATTTAAATTTCTTTAGAGATTTTGAGTAAAGAATCGTAGACTTTATAAGACTTCATGGCTGATTGAACAGATTAGGAGTCACAAGTCTTGCTGCCTCAAGTGCTCAATAAACGAAAACGAGTATAAAATCACAAAATTTACATTTACCATATTTTCCAGATTTTCTCACCACCGAACTTTTGGGAATATAATACGTGTGTAAAGCCAAGCTGTCATCTTATTTTAGTTCAGTATTGTTTATCACTTCGTTATAGCATAGAATTACGCCTGAATAGCGTTTATAAATCGTTTGACTTAGTTATGAAAATTCTCCTTTTGTAAAGAATGTGTATCGTGCGCTTCGCTCAATTTATGGTCAACATACACGGCCTACTGAGCGTACCACTCGCAACACCATCATCCTTCTTGAGGCCCAGCATTCATTATTAGATAATATTCAACCGAATAGACCACGTCCAGCACGGAGTGGAGAAAATATCGCAGC